TGAACAATTGTGTTTTTGAAGATGTTCCAAATGTGTGGTTGAACATAGAGTATTTTACAAAAACACAATAAAATTCGAAAATATAAAATATAAAATAGAATAATATAAATTTTTATCTAAATAATACCTCAAAAGAAATAAGGTATAGTAAAAAGGGAAAATGAAAATAAAAATAAACCATTCTATCTCACACTCGAAGTTCGAAGAGGCACGGGGTTTCTTTTTTTTCTTTCTTCTTCTGTTTTTCCTTCCGGATTTCACTTCCCAATTTCACCTACTGATTTCTCTAATTTTCTACTAATTTCTCTAGTCTTCCTGTTTTCTCGGAGGTCTGTCCTCGAAGCTTCCTCCTGTGTGGTTGACACTCCCAGAAGAGGTCGACGGGGGTGCTAGTTGATTGTTACAGTGTGCGGTGGACACCGGTGGTGTTCACAATGGTGCTGCCCAGCGGCAAAGCTACTTCGATCGACTCTTACTGGGCGTGGAGTGTTGGTGGCTGCGTGCGGTTGCGGAGCGGCTGGATTTGGAGGAGCGCCAAAGTCTCCTTTTTCCTTCCGAGTTGTGATGGTGGTCCGGCACTGGACTACGTTTGTTTTTTGCTTGTGCTCCGTGGCAAGCAGCGGTGTAGTCACCCTGTTTGTGTTTGGAGCAAGGAGCGGAGGTTAGTCTGTCCTTCTATCGTGTGGGGATCCTGCAACGTGAAATGCGGCGTGGTTAAGGCTGTGCGGCCATTAATGCTGGAATCGGGTTGTTTTCCTGTTGGTTAGTCAATCTCTGGGGGTACAGGTTGTTGCGACGGGGGTCCAGCGCCTAGATCTCTGCTGGGTTGTGATTCAAGGTTGGGTGTTTCGAAGGCGGCGCGGCCTTGGTGGTAGTTTTTATTTTATTATTATTATTAATTATTTGACTTGCAAATTGGCGGAGTAGTCCTTGACGATCGAGAGCTCCGTTTTTGTGTGGTTGCTGCGGTCGGGGTTGCTGGATGTTCCCGACGATGTTTTTTCTTTTTGGGTATTGAGCTGGTCCAAGAGCTTGCTGGAGGAACTTGAGAGGTATCAAGAATTGACGCGGTTGCATAACTTGAGGGTGATTCCTTGACAAGGAAGTGGCGCATGTTCTGGTAGACTTTGCCTACTGGTCAATGACTGGGCTGTGATGGCAAATTGTGGTAAACACATGAAGAGATTGATAATACAATTTAGATAAATGTGCATATGCATTACTATATACAATCTTTAATGCAATATTTATTGATTAATATGATTACTATATGTAATATTTATTGATTAAAATGATTACTATATGCAATATTTATTGATTAATATGATTACTATATGTAATATTTATTGATTAAAATGATTACTATATGCAATATTTATTGATTATAATGACAATACTACCAAAATGTATAACATGAAGATGGTGGAAGAGGGATTTGTCACACAACAAAGGTGTGTGTTAAAAGTTCTTATGTTAAAAAAGACAAAAATACATATTTTCTATTTTATTAATAAATGTGACAAATAAAAATATATATATCTTCATTTAAGCATGCTCCACAAAATATTAGTTCTTTGCTTGCTTATTGTAGCAAATGAGGTTTGTACATAACTTGATTAAAATCTTATATAATTCTAACAATGGAGTTATTCTATGTTATCAAGTTGCACACCTTGGTATTTAGAGAGTAGACATGTATTGTATGTTAGATAGGATTATGATACAATAATGGTTTACACTTGGCATAATTTTGTAGAACTTAAGGCAAAGCTCATTAGTTAAAATATTTTCCATCTAAAAGGACCTTGTTTCTTATTAATATTGACCTCTTTGAAAATTAGATTGCATTTATTCTTATTATAATAGCAATTTTAGAACATTAGTAAGAAAGATCAAAGTAACTATCTTCTACATATCTTTTTACATTATTTAACTAAAGTTGATGTACTAAGAAGAGTTCATTTTTCAACCTTACAATAACAAAGCATAGTATGTATGTCTTGTATTTAATGCATATACACAAGAAAACACATTGCTTGAGCTTGTTTGATATTCAAAAGTCAAAAGATGCACTATATTAGAAAAATTTAAGCCAAAAAATATAAAATAAAAAATTATATATATATATATATATATATATATATAGTAGCAACTTAATTTCTCATCATAAATAATCATTGATAGCTTTATATAATTTTTAAATTACAATAAAACCAAAGATCAAAGGTCATATGCCTCATATCTAGACTCTTTTTTTATTAGTTGTGCACTTGTAGCAGCTTGAAGGCAATATGTTATGTTTAATTTGATATGCTTGTTAGCATATCAAATCCAAGACTTATAGTTTACTTGGTTCAAATGCACAACTTAAAGTAATGATATTCTACGTTTAAGTCCTATTAAGTTTCTATAGAACCAAAGTAATAAAATTAGATTAAAATGAATGTGTAACACATTGAATGTAGAAACTTGAACATAAACCTATGGTAAGATGTTCCTTAACAAAGCTCTATTTCATTTAAGGCAAAGCTAAGTTGTGTACAAATAGTATAATAGGTTTTTGTCATCACATCATTGCTATCATTATTACTATTATAAATTCATACGTTGACATTTTATTTATATATAATAATTTTAAATATAAAAAATAAAAAATAAAAAATAAAATAAAAATAAAAATAAATGGTTCAGTATCTAATTATTGGTTTTTAGATATTCTATTAGAAAATTGAGAGAAATAAGATGAGCGAACAATGTTTTATAACAAATATTCTTTTTTACTTTCTATACATGGTGGAAGAAGAAGGCAGCAACCATACTGAGATGGTGGAATTAGAGTATCCTTGCTTTGCAATGATTCTCCAAACTTCATTTTTCAGCTCAATGTAATGTCATGTTGGGTGGATGAATGTGATTGTGTTGTTCTTCTTTGGTTCTTATTGATGAATGAACTTTCATTAAGTTATTAAAGAATTTAGTCAACTTCTTTAGTTGTTAAAATAGACATCAAATAAGCAAGACATATTATCTTAAGACTTGGACAAAATCTAACAATGGATTAATTTAAGATTTAGATGGATTGATTCATATTCTTTTTCTATATGTATATATATATATATATATATATATACATATTTTTTAAAATTAAATAAATGTTACAACTAAAAAAATATCTTGTAGATAAATTTTCTTTATGATAATTTTTTATTAGCTTTTAAAGATCTCCATAAAATGATTGTTTTATTTACATAAAATTTATATCATCTTGCTTACAATTAGATAAAATAAGAATAAGAAAAAAAATAAAATACTAATTTTCAATAACTTCAACTCACCAAATTATATTAATTATAAATTTATTTATGTTTATGCATATGCATATAGATATATATATATATATATATATATATATAATGTTAAAAAGGCATACAAAAGTATTATTATCTTAAGTTCTTCATACATTACAACAATTTGTATAGGTGCTTAGATATAATATGTTAAATTTTAAAAATTAATATTAAATAAAATCTATTTACAATGAATTTATAGGTTTATTCACAAAATTATGTGTATATATATAGGATGTTGCTAATGCCACCATAGTTTTTGCTATTGCCACCATAACTTGCTATCTACCTTATACCAGTAAATTTTTTGTTAATGCTACTATAAGCTATTCTAAACTCATGTTGCACACTACAATGCACTATATGAAACATTGCTAGTGCACACCACAATATTACAAATTGGTATTCTACTATGTGGATTATGATATTGAATCCAAGTATAAGATAGCTTATAATAGCAATAGCAAAAACCATGGTGGCATTAGTAGAATCTTATTTACACGTATATATATATATATATATATATACATATAATTCTTTTTTACATATTTTTATTTTTTAATAAATTCTGAAATAATTCATTTTTTCTCAAAACAAATCATAATGTTAACATTAATATTTGACAACTATATCTATATCTATACATATATATATATATATATATATATAGATATATAATTTTTATGCATGAATAGATGTTATTTTCTTAAATTCATTATTTATTACTCTTTATTTATTTAAATATTCATTTATTATTCTTCAATTATAATTATCAAACATATAGAATAAAATTGAAGGTTGTAATTCGAATTACATTATATAAGTACATTTACTAAGTACATTTGCATCTAAATGTAATTTGGAATTACATTTAGATAAATACATTTGAATTACATTGAGCAAGATCATTTATCACTTTTATGCTTCTTTAATTAATTTTTCTTTAGTAGAGTACATTGCTTATCTATATATACATATATTATGAATAAATAATTAGGTACGGTTTGGCCTTTGATAATTTTTAAGAGTAAATCAGTACGGGTATTTCATTCAAATCACTTGAGTTTTGAAAACTTAATAATAATTTAAACGAACTTTCATAATTATATTTCTTGATGTCTAAACAATGAAAAAAATTATTTATTTTTTGAATAATGGAAAAATTAGCCACTACTACAAGCAAATAATACCATTTACTGGATTTTAGAATCTTTCTGGATACAAATGCTATCATCAAAGTTGAAGAAATTTTATAAAAAGACTGAAGATCAGTAATTCATAGCTTCACGTAATCCTAAGACACAACTACATTTGTAGTTGTATGTTATCAACTTATATCAAACAAAGTCCTTCAGGTTGTTTCGAAAAAGCATGTTTAAGGAAATCGAGAGTAAACTTGAGAAAACATTTTCAGTAGAGATGAAAGCGTAATTCACTCCGTGTATTTTCTTTGCCCTCTTTACGAAGGCTTCTATGTCAAGTTCGCCAAAAACGACAACAACTAACACCATAATCCCATTGATAATTGCAACAATCCTAGCTAATCAAGTGACTCAACAATGCTGACCAATCACAGACAATTTTCATCTCCCCATATTGTTCATGTGAACCCCTTCTAGTCTGTGGGGTACAACACGAAAATATTTGAACAGGTGGCTTTCAAGGGTGATTAAACAGCCTGATTTCCAATTGAATTCTTACTGAATGAATGCTTTCAATCCACAGAATAATAAAAGGTCGATAAAAGAAACAAACAAACAAACAAGAGATAAAGCAGGCAAAGAGTAGGAATCCGTCATAAAAATCAAAAGCTCCGATAGCAATCTCTCTTGAACCTCACGCAAAGGCTTGTTTCATTGCTTACAATATTCAGCGTTTTCCAACTTTCGCAACATCCAAAGCGGCAAGGTTCCAGCAAGGCAAACAATATGCAGCCTGAATCCACAAAGCTGCACATTCATCTGTGAATACTGGAATTCAGAAGGGAATGTCATGGCTACTTCGAGCTACATTGCAACTAGTAGTTTGCACTTGCAGTCTGCACAGTAAATGGTGATTCTTGAAATGCAAAAGTAGTGAACAAAAACAGCCTTCAAATGCATAAATAAGCATTGGAAAGGAGAGTTTCATGAGATTTGAATATGAACAATATTTACCATCAACAGGTTAGAAAACCCAACGCCAAGATCAGCTATGGAGTCTACAGGTCGGAGCAGGTTGTGCTCTCGTTTGCTACCTCACCGACAGAATCGCCCATCTGACCTTTGTTGTTCTTAAAAACGACGGTCTCCCCAGGGCCTCTTTCTTGCATAGCCTTCCGCATGGCCTCACTTGGGATGATCCTTCGGCGCCTGCGAAATCATACATGACAGCGAACATATTACGAGGAACAGAACCCACGGGCATTTTCAGGGTTGTCGAAAAACGAAATTAGCATACATGTGAATCCATACAAAACACCCATCCAGAGCTTGTCACCAAATGTTAATCTTAAGAGAGTCCAGGCGCTGGCAATCATCCGGCTATTGGACTATACCTTCTCAAAGTGGGCTGCTGGGGATCAGGTTGGAAATGAGGGCCTTCGTCCCAACCCTCACAAGTAATATCACCGTTCTCATCATAGTAACAGATGATACCTTGGGATTCGTCCTTGAAAACCTGCATCGTCGGCAAGTTTAGGGGTCAGAAAACAGCACTTGTGGCAGGAAACCTCGTGTATCCCAAACACGAAAGATACCATGCAATAAGCACGGCAGGTAAGATACAGTCACACAAATGAGAATGGAACACAGAAGACCAAGACTAAGACTAAAGCGCACCGTGGACTCCTTCTCGGGGATAACGCCTGCAGGTCCGACCTCCGATGAAGCGCGGCAGATCGATAGACGCAGTGACTTGGGAACCATCTTAACCGTAGCCAGTCGTTGGGAAGGGGGAGGGTTCCTGGAGGAGATGGAAATTGGAGGAGAAGCACAATGAGGCAGACATCGCTGCAACAACATCGCCATGCTGCAGCCTTTTACACAAACTTTCAGTGACAAGCTGAAGAAAACAAGGCGATTCTCACAAGAACAAAAACTTGGAACTGGAGACGATAAGATTGAGTCTGCAAGTGCTGAGAGGAAGCTAGAATTAGACGAGTGGGCAGGATGCCAACTAAAACTTCAACAAGGGTTTGATGAAGGAGTGCAACAGATTTAGGGCTGCAAACTCCACACCCACCGTCACTGTCGGATGGGACTAGTGAGGGGTTTGTCTGACGGGCCCCACGGGATGATTCCTAGGGGTTTGTCTGACGGGCCCCACGGGATGATTCCTAGGGGTTTGTCCCCACGGGATAACGCTACTCAGCAGCTGCTTTTTGTATCCGCCATCTTTAGACTGTTATATTTTATTAATCTGGATGCGGAAAATCATCTTTCATACGCAGTGTGTGAACAATTATTAGACGTCGCATGGTAAGTCACCTACATTCCGTTTTTTTTCTTTTAAGAGTTTCTTCTTCAACTTCAGATGTTCAGGCTCTCATCGATCTGGAAAACGAGGAGTGTATTGATCGAACCAGCTTTGATCCTGTGTTTTCCTGTGTCAATCATAAGCCTGCTACTCTTTTTCCAGTAAATTTACCAGAATTGGAGTACATATATATATATATATATATACACACACAAGCATAGAAGGAATGTTTACTTTGGATTTCTCTCCCAGAAAATTAGTTTCAAATCAGTAATTCAGGCTCTCAATCCAGACAATTTTGCTTCTAAAATGGTTTTCGAGTGGAGGAATTGGATTGTGGCACCAACTGTAGATTGTGTTGACAATCTAGACACATTCTAGACGGTTTTGACAAGACTGCTGAGGTTGGCTGAAGAGAGCTTCAAAATGCTTCTGCACCACTGCACAAGCATGCAATGCTTGGGCTCATGTCACCTACATGGAAATCCTCCACCAAGTCTCTGCAATTTGTGCCCTACTTGGACGTTTATTGCCATCAGGTGACACAACTTGTGTATGCATTGGCAATTTTCCATTTCCAAGTTATCATATAAAGGATTGTGTTTCTGTAAATGTTTTCTATTAAGCAACATTCAGCTTTATACTTCGTTTGCTAGTTTGAGATGTTTGGTAAATTTATAGAAGAAATTCCTTGGATGTATCAATCAAAGTGTTATTAGAGATTGCAACAATTTTTGTATTCACTTATTCGCAGGATATTAGGGTGCACAAAGTGAGGAGAATATTGACAAGGATTAAACATAGTGGATTGATATGGTCCTATCAATGTCAATAAATTCAACATATCTTGATGATGACATTGATGTTCATGGAAGAAGCAACTTCTAAGGTTTAATAATATATATATATATATATATATATATATACACACACACAAAAACAAAAATAGAAAAAATAGAGATGTAGGACTAAGAAGGATAAATTGTTGCATGTCGATTGGTACATTGAGTAGTGCATGAAAGACATAGGGAGACTAAATATTAATTGGGCAATTATCTTAATGTGCATTGATAAGAATGAGAGATTGAATTATACCTCATGATATACTCTTAAAGTGTGAATTAAGTACATTTTGACAAAAAGATGATGTAATATTAAACTAAAGTAGCTATTACAAAAAACAAGAAGACTAAAAAGTCTTGAAACAAGACTAAGGACTAGAAAAGTATTCACAAGTATAAAGAAGGCTTCATTCTAGCTTCCATATTTATTCTCTAACTAGGAGCTACATGGTAATATTCTATAGGACTTCTAACATGAGTTGACTTTGTTAGCCACTGTCATGGACATAAAACTGAAGAAAATTCTATAAGGTTTTAAAAGATTTCAAAAGGTTCTAGAAGGTTCCAAAAGATTTCAAAAGATTCTAGAAGATTCTAGAACATACCAATAGGTTCTAAGAAGAATCTTGAAGATTTTGAAAGGTTCCAGTAGATTCTAAGAAAGTTCTAGAAGATCATAGGAGGCCTTAGAAGGTTCTAAAAGGCTTTAGATGATTTAGAAAGTTGCCAAAGAAGGATCTTAGGCTTGTTTTGTTCTCAAGCTTCCTAAAAACTTTTCAAAAAGCTTCCTAGGACCTAATATATATAGGAGTTGAGGCTGAGGGAATCCTCAGTCTCAGCAACTCACTTCTTGTGGTTTAGTTAGGACCCTCTTAGTTTGTATCTAATTATTATTCTAATGAGCTAATTTTATTTTTAGTCTTGAATCCTTATCTTGTATACGATCCCTAAAAATTTGTCAAGATTGCCATAAAAGAATATTAGGAGCTTGATCTTTCTTGATAGAGAGTGGATTACTCCTCTTCTTGGAAGTATTATAGCATTTTAGAGGTTGTGGATTATCTTCCCCTAGACTAATATTGTTCTTTTTTTAATATTCTTTTGATTTCTTTTCTTTATATCATAGATTAGGTTTTACCTCTTTTGAAGGTGTGTATTTCTTTGATTTCTATGGCAGAAGGTAAAAAAGTCAATATAACAGAGTATAAAGAGATCAAGTTAGATTTTATTATTAATGCTCTTGAAGCATTGAGGATTACGACAAAGACTTTTTCAAAGCATAATGAAGAACTATATATAACTATACATAATAGTCAATAAACTTAATTGCCTCAATCACCACATCAAATTAGAATAGAAGTTTCAAATTTTTAAATGACTATATCTACTTCAAACATGGGAGGTGCATCTATTCAAGGTAATGATCTGACAATAATAACAACAAAAGAACCAAAGATCAACCTTCCAAAAAAGTTTGATGGTACTTGTTCAAAATTTTGTGACTTTGTAAACTAAATACGACTAATCACTTTACTTCAACTTCAACGATATTCCACTAAAGTATTTCATGTTGGTTTGGTTAGAACCTTGCTCTTGGATCAAGTTTTATCTTAGTTCGTCCCATTATTTGAAAAGAATTCTTCTATATTGCATGAATTTGAAGCATTTTTGGCTGCATTTTCAAAAGTATTTGGTGAATATGATAAGATTCATTCTTTAACAACTAAAATTCGAAGCCTTCAATAAAGAACATGCTCTACATCAACGTATGCCTCAGATTTCTAACAATTAGTAAGTCATATAAATTAGAGAGAAGATGTATTGATGAGCCAATTTCATTGGAAATTAAGAGACGACGTCAAGGACTTATTGTTGTCTATGTCAAATCTTCTAACACTCAATGAAGCCATTAATCAAGTTGTGAAGTACGATAACCATTTATTTCAATGATGATAAGATAAATGTTCTTCAGTTACGTCACATGTATAGACCAATTATTCTGCAACTTCTTCACCATCTAACTCTAATGAGTAGTTGGAAGCAAAAGATATGCAGATTGATGTAGTTTGCTTCAAACCTCTTTTTGAACAAGAAAAAAATCATCGAAGGAAACTTGGCCTATGCTTATATTATAAAAAACTTGGCCATAAGATTAATAATTATTCAGAGAAATACCAGTATATATATCAAATGAGGAGTGCGGTGTCATACTGTATATGCTTACAATATGTAAAAATTAGTTAAAACATATTATATGTTGATAAATCTAGATGTGTATTAGAGTGGCTAGTAGATTAAATTAAAAAGAGTTGGTATAAGAAACTTTACTTTGTTTCTTTATTTCTTTTGATTTTGACATCAAATATATATATATATATATATATAGGACCTAAATATTTAGTATGAAGCCTTGGGAGTAGGTAGAAGCCTAAAGATGAAGATTTAAACTAATAGGAGGTTAATTGGGAGGGATGAAACCAAGGCATGGTTGGATGAAGGTAGAAATAAGGATCTTCATCCCCATTGGTCGAAATCCATGCCTAATGGGCTTTTAGGAGGCTGCCTGCGACCTTGATAAGGGTTTCGGCGACTTCAAAGAGGCCAATAGGAAATCGAAGGCAAGGGTTGTAAAGTTTAGGATTTTTACTACAATTTTTGTGCAAATTTTATAGGGTTTGGAATTAAAGTGAATAAGTTATAGCCGTTTGAAGTTAAGGTGTCAATTTGAGACCTACTGTTACTCTTTTGAGTTTAAGAGGAGTCTTACGAGAGCTTTTGGAGATCGGAAGGTGCGGCTAGAAGGACAACTTTAAGACATACATCTTTTGCGAAGGAAATTTTGCATTTGGAGTTCATGTGAAGGAGTTATAGGGAGTTAAAGACAGTGCATTCAAATCAAAGGCAGTAAGTGAGCGGTTTTGTTCAAAATAGTGTTAGGAGCCATAACTTGAGTTTTTGAATGAAATTTTGGCTCAAACTTTGGAAGAATGTAAAAATTTGTGTTGAAAAGCTATCTATACAAGTTTCGTGGCATTTGGACTTATGGTTTGTGAGATATGAAGAAAATTGCGCGCGGATATATAAAGATTAGGGTTTGAAGCGACTGTTAGGGTTTTGAAGATATCTCAAGATCCGCGACGAATTTGCGGTTGAAATTTGTTGTACAAATTAATAACAACATATCAGTACTTCATGTAAATTTTGATCTTGTTTGGACGGTTGGATCAAGAGTTATGAGGTGTTGAGGTTCAAGAGAATTTCCACAGAAGGATATACAAGGTTTTAGAATACTTCTACCATATTTTGGGTGTTGTTGGTTATTTAAGACTTAAGTATTTGGTGTAATTGTCCCAAAAGGAGAACTTATATATATAAAATTAGGATTTCGTTATTTTAAGCTTGATTGAGCAATTAGTGACAGCCAGAAGCCCAGCGCTTTCTTGAGGCAAAACCTCTCTACCCCAACAGCGACTACATCATCAAAAGCATTGCAAGAAAATGAGGGCTTTGAGCCAGAATAAGGACCATGCCGTTGGATTCTTTACTATCACAAATTAAAAAAGGTCTTGTACTCTCTGTCAACCTTTCTCGTTGTTTTACTATACCTATGTGGTTAGAAATTAAAGAAATAGATTGTCATGCATTACTTAATTTGGGTGCCTCTGTATGTTTTATTGACAAAGAATTTTCTAGCTCACACAAAATCTGTATAGTCAAAAAATCCAAAGTTGTACATATAGAAGTAATAGATGGTCGACCTTTATCCTTTGGAGACATCATTCATGAAACAATTCTATTAAAAATAATCTTTGACAACCATAGCAACCAAGTAATATTTAATGTTATCAGATCACCATTAAGTTTAGTCATTTTAGGATTCTCTTAGCTTAAAAAATATAATCCACGAATAGATTGGATATCATGAAAGTTAAAATTTTCTCTAGTAGATCATAG